GGGCCCTTTTTTTTTTCCCCCCCCCCCCCCCCCCCGACAACTAATGCAAGACAATGGTCTTTCTGGGCACTATCACTAGCCGACGACGGTTCTTCCGACCCCCATCGCTAGAAAATGATATTTCTGACCACTATTACTTGCCGATTATGGTTCTTCTGAGCTCCATCGCCAAACTACAGTCCTTCCAATTTTCGTCGCTAGACAACGATCTTTCTAACCACTGACAATTGTTGACTATGGTCCTTCCGACCTCCATTGTCAGACAACGATCTTTCTGACCACTATCGCTCGCCGACTATGGTCCTTCCGACCTGCGTTGCCAGATTATAGTTTCTCCGACCTTTGTCACCAGACAACGGTCTTGTTGACCTATGTTGCCGGGACTACGGCCTTTCCGACATTCGTCGCAAAACTACCCTTCTAACCTCCATCGCCAGATAACGGTCTTTTCGACCTCCGTCATCTGTCAACTACGATCCTTTCAACCACCATAACCCGACTACAATCTTTCTGACCTCTGTCGTCTGCTGACTATGATCCTGCCGACCAAACAAATATGTCAATATGGATTCTTTTAATTCCCACAATGTAATACACTCTATATGATGTATATTTGCTACATCAAGCCAAGGCATTCCCCCCAAGGAAAGGCCTCATTTGAAATTGAATGCAAACACTAGTGGATTCAATCAAATCAAATTGGGCTAGGCCCCATGATTTTTCTCCCTTTTTAGAAGTTTCCATGTAAAAACTTTGGTGTCTCTTATGAACGCTTCACCCTCTCTTTTATCTGATTATGCGTTGGATCTTTGTACAAAGCTAAGACATTAAACTTTATATTTCTCTATTGCCTTGAATATTCCATGACACAACATGTCATTTTATCCTCTTAGATTAAATAAATCAAAAATAATTCCAACCTAAATAAAAAAATAAGAAGAATATTACCCGTATTATTAAAAATTATTATATTTATAAAATTACAAACCATCTTTAAAAAAAAACTAACAAATTTATATTTACATATCACAATCAAATCACAATTTTAATAAAAATAAAAATATAGATAAAAATTAAATGATAATTTAATCAGCAGTAGTAGCAGGAATATATTAGATTAATAAATAACTAAATTACGATTGTTAAAATGCAATTGTTCCATCGTTGCGCTTAGGGGCTTAGGGGCAGATCTAACTATTTTTTTTTTCAAAAGTGGGCAAAAAAAATTTTATATTTTGGGAAATAAATAAAGACGTTTAGGATTGATAAAATTAAGGCAAAAATAAAAAAAAACTAAAAAAAGAAAGACAAAATACCCAAAATATCCAAAATATCTCTTCTAAATATTTTATTTTTTGAGGGTGAGCATTTTCCGACCCTAAGTACACGGGGATCCACCCATGATTGTACTTTGCTTGCCAGTGGTAACAAAATCAGATCAGTTCAGCAACAAATTGAAACTCAATGAAAAATTGTGAATTTTTTTATCTTATGGTTCATTTGAGACATTTTCTTACTATTTTTTAAGTAACTATTAATACAAAATTGTTTAAATTATAACCTTTTGTGAAAAAAATTATTTAAAAAAAATAAAAAAACTATCCCAAACAAAATCTTATACTCTTGCAAGAGCTTTCATCAATATCAATTATTGATATAAAGCTGATGATGTGATAGAACTGCCTCAAATTTATAACCGTTAAAACTTTTCCATAACATCTCAAATTTCCTCATCTTTAAAAACAAAAAGAAGAAAAAATAAACTATCAATAAACTAATACACTCTGTTTACCAAGTAACCAAAAAAAAGCCTTAATAAAATTTGCGCAAAATGACACTTACACCAGCTTTCAAATGTGTTAAAAACATAAAAACTACAGCACTTGCAATCAAGGCAACTGATTCCCTCTTTACTTGACCCATTGCATAACTTTAAAGAAGAAAAATGAGTTACAACAATACTTACAACAACCATGAGCTCCCTCTGCAAGATCAATAACAACCTCTCTATAAACAAAAGCTCTGTAAGTTTCAGCAGCTTCAACTAGATTCACAAAATTGAGGGTTGCAGAAATTACCTAGAGATGATCTAACAGTAAAGCTATAAGAAAGATAGAACTTAATATACAAGCCAAGTGTTGCCTCTCCTAAGAGAATGCAATAGTTCTATCATCTTATATCCACTTCCACCTTTGAATCTTCTATGCGGGATATCTTCTTCTCTGCTACATTATCATCTGCCACATTCGCTCTTTCATTTCGGGCCAAAAGATGGGTATACAATTTTAGAGACTCTCGGGAGAAATCTGCCAGTGATTCAAAAACATGACCGAAACCAAACTTGAAGCCATTCATGGTTGCTTCTGTTGTCTCTTGCATGCATTTCCTATGCTTTGCCTTCTCCATTTCCAGTTTCTGCCTAAACATCTCAGCCAAATTCTTCTTCCCAGATAACAACTCTACCCGATCTCGAACTTCTGGTTCAGGCTTCACATCTGATAGCTTGAGCTCCAATATTCTATTCTCATCTTTATGCAATGTGGCGATCCTTTGATCGAATTCTTTAGCAAGAGCATCAACTTTCCTATTCTGATGTTGTTCCTCCCCTTGCTTTACCAATACAACCTTCATATTGTTGATGAATCCTTTCATGGAGAGTGAGACAGCTCTATCAGGGAGCTTCATAGATGAGCTCGACCATTCTTGCAAGATCAAAAGAAGAGGAGGCGATCCTTCTCCATATGATGGCACCGAGCACCTAGTCCTAGAATACTCAGGTACAAAAAACTTAGAATGCCATCCATAAAGAGCTTCAACATAAGATCTCTGAGCAGAAACATAGTTCTTGAAGCAAAATCGCCAATTTTCAAGTTGCTCCTCCAGCTTCTTAGTCACTTGACGCTGTGAGTCACTGCAATATCTCCCATAAGAGGGGCAAGTGAAAGCTTTGATGTTAGACATAATCTGTTTTTGTTGCTCGTGTGATTGTAGCATTGATCTCCATGTCCTCATCATTCTATTCAAGAAAAAGAAATCAGAAGCACTGCTAAAGATTTAAAGCAAAGAATTTCTATGTTTCTTATCGAATGGAATTGCCTTGCTTACCCTTGCAGCAATTCAATCAGTTGTGGGTGCAACTCATCATCTCGCACTTTCTGAATTCTGATAGAAATTGTTTCTATGGTTCGCAGGGAAACCCATATTCTTGCATACAGGTCTTTCACAGAGGCCCGAGATTTATCTAATGTGTGTGAACCGGATCCCTTGGCATCTTGATTTCTAAGCTGTAGGCATTTCTTCTGATACATTTGCCTAGTCTGCTCTCCAGCCTAGAAAGAATGGAGATCGCAATTCAAGGATAAGGTTTGCATAGATCAATCCATACAAAAAATTGTATTGGAAGGAGCTTCATGCAGTGGATATAACTGCTATAGGTTATTTATAACATAGATGATCTTAATGTTTGTTTACTATGAATAATCAACATTAGTTAGTATACATGCAAGTAGCAGAAATGAAGAAACAGGAAGTTTCAAATTTGATAAAATGACTTAAGAGGAGAAAATTCTGAGCGGAGACCGGACGTAGAACGCCGTCCGGAGACCAACCAGAATGCGTCACGTCAGTGGTACCGAGCCACAGTACCGAGCAAGGAATGATGTGGCACATTCTGGTTGGTCATAGATTGACGTTCGGCGTCTGCACAGAATAATTAATCAACTTAGAGACCTCTGAAGAGTGAAGCTATAAGCATATCCCCCACATACCTTAATATTTCAGGTCATGGTTATGCAACAAACAGAAATCATCCATTGTAGCCATGCATAATAGCAAACTTGGAAGCATATTTTGCAGACATACAGTTTTTAACAACATTCGAGATGGAGTTTCTTTGCTTCTTTCAGAGTTCTCAACCAATAAACAAATTGCAGATTAAGCTTAGTAACCATTAGGGGTGTCAATTTTGGGTCACAGGTCAGGTTTGGGTCGAACTCGGAACTAATCCGGCACTATTCAGGTCAACCTGAACCCAACCCGACACGCGGACACGGCAACGCCGGTAGTGGCGGGTCGGCAGTAGCGCTGGGGGCTAGCGGCCAGAGGCAGCATAAGCCGGCGAAAGTGGATCAGCGACCGACGACAGGACGCAAGGGCGGCAGACATGCAGGTCAGTGGTCAGTGCAACGAGTAGGTCCGGGACGAAACGCTGGCCTCGAGATGCGACTCGAGGCTTTGGGACACGAGCGGGCAGCTCCAGTCAAGCGCGGTCAGCATGGGCAGGTCTAGTCAACACATGCAGTGCGGGTCATTCCGGGTCAATCTCGAGTTTCCGGGTCAACCCAAACCATAAAGCTAAACCCCAATGATGAAGAAATAAATAATTATTATTTACATATCTTCTTCCAGTTACTGCATACACACTTGTAAGGTTCTATTATTTGTAAATGCTATATGGATCCATCTCCATGGCAGAAAATATCATCACCCTCCAAATTCAGTAGTATCAAGCTATTATAGAACCTCAGGAGATTATAATACTAAGATGATACCTTCACTTCTTCATAGAGCTTCTTCTCCCACGCATACAATCTTCCTAGTGTGAGCCAATGGCTTCCTGATCCCATTCCCCCATAATCTTCAAAAATCTCACTCCTTCCTTCAGTCAGTGAAGTGTTCTTACACACGAGAGATCTTCTCGACGATGAGGACAAAGATGAGGATGACCTATGCCATGTGATAGCCTGGATAAATTTTGATGAATTATCTGCATGGTTAACCGAAGCATAAAAAATCACTACATAAAAGAAGAATTTAATACACACAGAAAAAAAAATCAAATAGCAAGAATTTATAGATAACCAAAAATTGTTGCTGAGCACGAGAAATTGTTTCATCAAATTGACCAAAAATATGCTTACAGAATCAGAATCATCACAGCATTTCCTATAATGGTTATTTGCAGTCTCCATCAATATTACTCATTTTTCATAAAAAATTACTCAAATCATAAGCATGGTTAAGCAAAGAAGCAATTTGCATAGGAATCTTTATTATATTCCTAACTGAAGGAAATAAGGAAAATAAGTAGGACCCATAGGTTATTATTATCTTAGTCAAAGAACATGACGCTCTTCAGTTAATATAAATCAGGTATAATTAGTACTAAACCAAATCCATAAAACAGTTCAGAAGAAGATGCGCTACAGCAAAGGTAAAAAGAGAAGAGTACAAGCGCTGCAAGCTCCTGAGCTGAAACAGAGAAAGCAAAGTAAAAAAGAGAAGTAGGAACAAACATTACCTGATAAAAACAATGTCCTTTTTTGACTCAGCTTACCAACCCTTTTACCACTCATAAACCCCACGGAAAGAGGTTTTAGAACACCAAGAAATGAGGAGCAATTACTAATTAGAGGCACCCCATTGGAGCAGATAACGCCCAAGAAACAATTAAAAAGGATAAATTTTGGAAATTTAAGGGGGGAAAAAACCTTTGATTTCATCATCTCGAGTATGAATGTTAACTATATCAGCTCCCAGCATTCTGGCTAACTCCTTCCCAGAATCATACGCTTTTAAGAATTCTTCTTCCACATCTTTCAGCGCATCAAGTAGCTCCATTTTATTCTCTGTTGATTCCATGACCATCAATTCCCTCTCCTTCATTTCGGCCCCTTCTCCTTCTTGACTCCCCACTATTTTCACCACCTTCTCCCCATTTTCCTTAACTTTCATTGCCACTGACATCGGCGCAACATCTTTCTTTACGTCATGCAGTTCTTCCTCCTCCTCCAGCTCAGGAATTCCTTCCCGCTCCCTCACCACCCTCAACTCCTCCTCCGAGCTCCGGTCAAGCCCTACCGTCATGACCGCCGCCGTCAATCCCTCGAACGGGTTAAAGAAATCCCACCCATAAACCTCCGTCTCCGTCTCCGAAGGAGGTGCCATCGGCATCTCTGCAAAGAAATATTCCTCCCCTTCTCTCAAATTCGAAGTTGGCGCCGAAGAGGTCGAAGAAGAAACAGAGGAACGGTATGCTAAAGCTTCGGTTTTGGGTTCGGTGGGAGTTTGCCGGAGGAAGGAAGGGTTAAACGAGGACGACGAAGGGGAGGAAGAGGGGAGGGTGATGAGAACAGGGTTGGGGGAAGAATGACGGGCCACGAAGAGGTTGATGGCGCCGGCGACAGCTCGGATGGAGTGAACGTAGCGCTCGTGCGCTTCGGCAAGAACTTTGCGGCCCTTCACGGAGGCTTTGAGGAGGCGCTTCCTCTCGCGGCAAAGGGAGACTGGCTCCTCTTTGCCGCCTCCGAGCTTGGAGGCGGTGCAGTTTCCCATATTGAAACAGCAGAACAGGGGACCTGTAAGGAAGAAAGCAGGGGAAATGACTATGAAATGGAAAATGAGTGGGTTAGAGAAGGCAGCTGGAGTAGAGAGTGAAGCTGGAGAGGGAGAAGGAGAATGAGGGTACACAAGAGAGAGCGGTGGCGTCTTGTCTGTTAGTGGAAGCCCTGGGTGAGGTAGAGGTTTTTCTCTTTTTTTCCTTAGAGGAAAGTTCCAGCCAAAGGTGGTAAGCCCTGAACCCTAATGAGAATATAATAAATTTTTTATATAACCTGTTTTATAACCTTGTAAATTTTTTTATAAAAGTGATAATAAAATTGTTAAAGAATAATATTTTTTTTTTAAATGTTGTAGAAAATAATTTTTTAATATGAGGATTTTTTAAAAATAATAAAATAATGAGCAAATAAAAATTATAATTATAATTTAAAAATAATAATACACAAGAAGCTTGATAAATAAGACATATTCGACTAACTTACAAACAACAATTAATTTTGTTGAAAAAATTATATTATTTTATTTGTAACAATATAATATATTAGAATTTTGATTATTGAAGAAATTACACAATGGTTCAATGAAAAGACTTACTTTGTTTTGTTTGTGAACTTTCCTCGTGATCAGGGGCGGAACCAAATGAAATTTTCAGGGGGGCAAAACTTATAAGGCATATATCCTGGGGGTCCAAGGGGGCAGCGCCGCCTCGTGAGGTTCAACCTAATGGGGGCAATTACCTAAAGACCATAGTATTTTAAAAATTTGGGGGGGGGGGGGGGCAATTGCCCCCCTGACCACAAGGTGGTTTTGCCTATGCTCGTGACTTAGGCTTTTTTTGCTACATATTTTGATCACAACTTTTTTATTATTTTCAAAAAATTTGTGTAATAAAAATTTATTTTAAAAAGCAAAAAGAAATTTGTCTTAAACGAAATCTTAATAAACATAAATGACATCTAAAAATAGTTCATTAATTCACCCCTAAAAAAAATAAATTATTTTAAATGAATTATACAAAACAGACATTATTTCTCTAATTAAAAATCTATAATTATTATGAAAAACTCCATGAATTTCATATATGGAGCATTGATGGAGTTCAATAGCCATTTTTGATGAAATGGCCTTTTAAGAGTCTCCATAATCTTAGCCAATACACACTCATTTATGAGATCATATGTGGGCGTAGGAGCTTATAATACAGTATAAAAATAATAAAAATATGGAATGGCTCAAATCATCAGAGTATTATTAGCTAATTAATGGAGTTCTTGTGCGGCTAAGGAGATGGAGTTGTTCAGATGTTGGGGAGCCGTTGGGTATTCTTGTCTTGGTTTAGGACTTCGGCTCGTCCTCTGGGGCCCTTTGTGTCCTTATTGTGGAACTAGTTTCTGATAAATGGCAGCGAGGTTCTGTGCTTTTAAAGTGATTGTAGTCAGGGGCGGAACCGGCTTTAACTTTGAAGGAGGACAAAAATACAACATAAAAATAATTAAATATTAAAAAAAAAAATATTATATATCTATATATTACGAAAAGTTTTTAAAAAAAATTAAGCAAGAAAAATTAAGAAAAAATGTGTAATTAAACTGTTATTAAAAGCATGAAAGAGAATATTAGAACTAAATGTAAAGAAATATATAGATATTTTAGGGCAAGTTAGGACAAAAGAATTTTTTAGGGGGGGCAAAAAAAAAATTTAAGAAGGGGCAAAAAAATTTTTTACTCTCTTATAATTTTTTTTTAAAAAATTTTTACTCCTATAAAAAAAAAATTTTACCCCTCCCCCCTAAGCTCTTCATAGTTCCGCCCCTAATTGTGGTCCCATAAGGGGATTAGGAAAAGAAAGAGAAAGAAACCTGAAGAATGAGATAAGAATCATAGAACATATCATTTTATCTTGTTTTCCTGAAAAATTAGACATATATAAAGCCTGTTTTTTTATTGCACAAACTTTTTATAAAGTATTTGTCACAAAATACAAGATCAAGCAGGGAGAATATTTTAATAGATTTATTCTCGTTGCATCTTGGAATATTCTTGATGGTAAAGAGTGATAAAATTTACATTTTAGTTTAATACGAAAATATAGCACGCAATTAGATAAAAAAAAGGTGCAGCATTCATAAGAGACACCAGAGTTTTGATATGGAAACTCCTAAATGATAGAAAAAACTACGGGATATGGCCCAGTTTAAATGAAGCCACTAATGTTTGCAGTTGATTACAAAAAGGCCCTTCTTTAGGGGAAGGTCTCAGCTTGATATAACTAATATGTATTATATAGAGTGCATTACATAGTGAGAGTCGGAAGAATCAGTATTGACATGTTCGTTTGGTCAGCATGATCGTAGTCAGCGAGTGATATAGGTTGGAAGGAATATAGTCAGGCGACGGTGGTAGGAATGATCATAGTCGGGCGTAAGAAGGATCATAGTCGGTGGTTGGAAGATGAGAGAGAACACATCATTTTAGCTTGTTTTCGTGAAAATTTAGACATATATAAAGCTCTGTTTTTTGTTTCACGAACTTTTTATAAAGTATTTGTCACAAAAGAAAAGATCACTAAAGGAGAAAATTTTAATGGATTTATTCTGAGTAGGATTGCAAATAAATCTAATCTAGCTAAGTACCATATGGTTTAGTATAGACTATATATTTACTTATTTTTCTTATTGAGTTTGATCTAAATTTGAATATGAAATGATATTTAAATTTTTTAAAAAGCTTATTTATTAGTTTTTTATAATAAGTTTGGGCAGAAATCGACTGATAATTGAGCTTAATTAATTAGTTATTTAATGTTTATAATTTAACTATCTAACATAATTATTAGCCATATAAACTATGATTAAAGATTTAAGGGTGGCCCATTTCTATGATTTAAGGATGATCAATTGCCCGCCATCGAACTACACAGTCAATACACAATAATACACACTCTATATATAGTTAATACACATTCATTTCACAATTAATATAAAATCAATACATACTCAATATACAGTCAATACACATTCAAAACACACTTAATACACAACCGATACATACGTAATACACAGTCATTGAACAAAAACACTACATAAATCATTTTTATCTTTGAATCCTAACTTTTTAAATGTAGTACACAATGAATACACATTGTGTATTGATAAAAAATAAAATTGAAAAAAATTTCTCTTATATACATACAACATATAAGTTTATAAAACATCACAAAATGAACAAAAGCATGCCTCTTTGAGACATTCAACATATAAATAATTAAAGAATATATTCAATCAAAACATATGAACCATCAATGATTATAATGATATGTTTTAATTTAACTATCATTATTAACCTAAAATTAAATTTCATGCAATTGTTACTCTAAGTCAATGATATTCATCATCATCCTCGTGTACTCATATGTCAGCTAACTGGTTGTCGCCCCATTTATAAATTCCTCATTGAAAGATTTAGACATATTTGAGAACTTGATCCCTCTAACTCTACAACAAATTTCCGCTAAAATTTTAAAATTTGGTAACCCTAAAATTCGAGGACCTTTCCAGGATTATTTTCTAAAAAAATGAGCGTCAATAAAATTGGTTGGGCCGAGTCATCTAGGGGTGTCAATTTCGGGTCACGGGTCGAACTCGGAATTGATCTGGCACTATTCGGGTTCAGGTCAACATGACCGTTTTTGCAAATGAGTCGATTTTTCGGACTCGGATCCGACCCGCTTCGGGTTTGGGTGAACCCAACCAGACCCGTTTAGGGTTTAGGGACAACGCATCAGGCGATGCAGCAGTGTCGGCGACCGGCGGGGAAGTGGTAGCGGAGCGGTGCCGGTGATGCGCGGAGCAGCGGGGCAGGCAAGGTAGCAGGGCAGCTGGCGCGGGGCAACGGGTGCGGTGCAGCAGGTCAGCGGGGCAGCTAGGTTTCCGGGTCATTCTCAGGTTCCCGGGTCAATCCGAACCCAACCCGACTTTACAAATGAGTCGGTTTTTAGGACCCAAACCCAACCTGCTTCGGATTCGGATCAACCCAAATCCGAATTTTTCGGCTCGGGTCCAATGTGGACCCCCCTAGAGTCATCAAATCACCAGCTATATATTAAAAATCTACTGTAAAATCAACTTTTGAGCTGGAAGAGCCCGGAGGTAGATGACGTTTGGTTACGGCTAAGGCCGCCGATCTCGCGGTGGCAGTTGCATCCGCCGCTTAGGCTCACTGTTTCCTTAGAGAAGAAAAGAGATGTGGGAGAATCACGCTGCGCCTACCTCTCTTTTTTCTCAGATCTGATTTCTTTCCCGGCCAGAAGGATCATACTGACATTGCAGTTGTGAAAATTTTCCAGTCCGAGCGGATCCTCCAGATGAAAATTTACTATGCCAAGAACCACCCGCTCCTTCTTCTTCCCCTTCAGTGTCGGTATGCCCTCTCTCTCTTCCCAAATTTCTGTGAGCATGAGCATGGTCCAAAACTAGTTGGCTGGGCAAGAGGTTTCATCATATGAACGCAGCCATCAAAAATGAATTTGCTATCAAAGTTATGTCGTCTGATAGATGATCTTGATCTCAGGGCCAGCTAAACAAAGTTGCTCCAAGAATCTAAGGATTCATTTGGGACACTTTTTGTGTCACTAGGATTTTTTTTGTTGGTTTCAAGATATTTTTGTATGAAAAATTTGCTATAAAATACAATAAGAAAACTGCTAATAATATTAAGCCACACATCTAATCATTACCACAGTATTATACACTAATAATATAAGAAAATCACAAAAACTAATCTCAAATTTTTTTAATTTTAATTCTTAATCATTTTTTGTCAATAACAGTTCAATGTTGCTAATAAATTTGAATTCAACCACCACTGGCCAAAGAGTATTAATCATGTTAATTTTTTTAAACTATTTGATTGAATAAAAGAGTAAATACATCGCATTACGCAACAGAGTTGAAGGTGAAATTGTGGTTGAAAATTGTTGAAAATCATAAATTAATACCTAGATTCATAAACAAATCATAAATTACCTGTTCTTACTTTCTTCACATGATTTGAAAACAGTCATCAAACATCCATGTTAGCAAACTAGTATGTTTATAGTTTTGAAATGAGAAAAATTGTTACTTTATCAGGAACCACGAAGCTGCAACGGTAATGTACACTTTACAAAAGAATTAGCAGAAAGAGTTAAGACTCCCCCTCTTACAGATAGTGTGGCCTGTGCTTGAGTAAGCTTTCATCATGGAAATGGCGGCTTAACCAGCAATCACTCTTCTTGAGATCAGAGAATGTCATCTCCTATTTCTCTTTGCTGCTTCTACTAAAGTAGCTTTAAGAAGCCTCCGAGCAATTCCCCGCAGGAATTCAGTTAAAATGGAACTAATCATCTCCATGAATGAAAGCAACAAAAAGTTGATCTTCAGCTGAGAGATTTATTGGCCCATTTGAGAACCAAAAACTAAGATCTCTGTAAGTAATACAGATCATTTGTAGTCCTTTCTGTAGTAAAAGAATTCCAACTTAATTGCACAATCAGATGAAAGAAGGGAAAAAAAAAAACAGCTACTGAAAGAAGATGGAAACTTCAACCTCGTGCATTCAAAAGCATATGAAACTACAAGACATTCATCTCATTATTATCATCATCATCTGATAGGATCCAACATCCTATTTAGCACATTTTTGAGTTATTCTTCACTCCCAAAAGAAAGAAGAAAGATACCAAGGAAAAGACTTAATCATTTCATCATACCTCTTACTCTTCAATCAGGGTTATTTATAGGCTTCCAAAACTAACTCGTCAACTAACCATTCCTCTTAGCACAAATTTTAGGGAAGATTAAATGCTAACCTCTCATAGTAATTAATCAAAAATCTATTGAACTAATGACTACAGGGTTTACATCATTACTCCCACTCTTACAAGAAACCTTGCCCTCAAGGTTGGACTTCAAAGACAATCCAATGGACATGATGACCATGCATTTAACTACAACAAACCTTGCCCTCGAAAGAGTTTTCGCCCTGAACCCTAAACAAATAGTCCCCTAATAGGTATGGTGTATTGGTAAAATATACCATACAAGTCGGTGTTGACCACACAAAGGGTATATGTGCAAAAGTATGGTGTATTGGTAAAATATACCATACAAGTCGGCGTTGACCACACAAAGGGTATATGTGCAAAAGTGCATGGAACCAATTTAGTTTGTTGGCATGTATGTACGCTCAGTCTTCAAACTCATTGAGAAAGGGTGATTGAGTTCGGTCTTCAAACATATGAGCTATGTATAAACTCGACCAACCAACGTGCTGAACTCAGAAAGGATCCAGACTTGGCTGCTAGAGTGTGGTGAATCACAGAAACAATGAATTGCATGTGTATGAGCTGGGAAATGTGGCTTCCCCAACTCAACCCTTGGATGAGGAATAATGTTTCAAGTTTGGCCTTTGGGCGTGTGAGCCTAGTGTCCAAGTTCGGTCCTTCAGTGTGTTGAACTTAGGTAGAATCCTAGGCTCGACAATAAGAAATTGATGAATCAAGAAAGACTCAATGTTCAGGCATGTGAGTTGGAAAATGTGGCTTCGCTAACTTGACCATTGGATGAGGAAGAAGATCCCAAATTTGGCCTTTGGGCGTGTGAGCCTTATGTGTAGGCTTAACCCTCCAACATACTAAATTTGGGAAGAATCCTGACTCGGCTACAAGAGCGTGATGAATAAGGAAATACTCAATCCTCAAGTGTGTGAGTTGGGAAATGTGACTTCACCAATTTGACCCTTGGATGAGTAAAGGGACACTGAGTTCAGCCTTTAGGTGTGTATGCCTTGTGTGTAGGCTCGGCCCTCCGACATGCTGAATTAAGAAAAGTCCTAACTTGGCCAATAAGGCATGATGAGCTAGGAAAACAAACTCAATACTTAGGTGTATGAGTTGGGAAATGTGGCTTCACCAACTAACCACCTTCAGATAAATGAGTGAAAGTTGTATTGAGTTTAGCCTTTAAGCATGTGAGTCATGTGTGTAGACTCGGCCCTCTGGTGTGGTAAACTCGAACAAAATGTTGTTCATTAGCTCTCTGGTGTGTTGAGCTTTGTGTCAGCCCGGTTTTTGAATCTCAAAATAGGAAAGAACAACCAAGCCGATCCGGCGAGCATGATGGACTGGAAGAAAGAAGCCTCAGTGAAGGTTGAATTGGCATTTGCCTCATTTTTAATAGGCCATTTTGTCTCCCAGAATTTGATAGAATCAAGAAGGATCCTACTTTATTCAATAATTGTTTTTCTAACCATTTTATCTAGATATAATGTACAGCTCTTTTACTACTTTTCAAATGTGAGTTATTATTTATCCATTTGACATATTGGTAAGCCAATTTTGTGACTGTTAAATAACAATTCTGTCTGTTTATGTTGTCTAAAATTTGTTTGTTTTTTTTTGGCATTATTTCGATCATTAGTATGTTATGCTGATTATCCTGCATGGTCGTATAGTTAAAAGAGAAAATATGGCTGGTACTGTCAATTTTAAACCTTTTAGTATACCATCTAATCAATATTTACAAGTATTAATATTTTAATTAAATTCAACCTAATTAGCGGTTTACAGTATAATTACAAAAAAAAACCTTATTAATTTTTGAGAAATCACTTACTTTTTATCATCACACGGAAGATAAGTATAAAAGTGGAATTAAGAATAGGCCAAATTCGGCAATAGTTAATTAGTTAGCATTCATGATATTTTTAATAGTTTTGTTTGATAGCCATATAATTTATATTGAATTTATTTTTGCATTATTTATGATGGCATTCTATTTAAAGCTCAATCTAAAAAAAAAAAAAAATCATTCTCCCTAAAAAACTATTACAAGCAACATTTTTAACAATAGATTTTTAATGCATATTACCAAAATGAACATCTAATCTTTTTTTATTACCAAATCAAACCTTGAACGCTAACAAACTTATCAATTATAAAAGCTCTCAATTCGACACCTTCCTTTTATTATAACAATATATTTTATGTTTCATTCGAAGAAACAATTCATACCTCCCAATGAAATATTACAAGCCTCACTTCTTAAAAAAAGAATGTCAAATATATGATCACAATGGACATTCTTTATTTGCAACATTTAAAAATTCAAATGGCCATCTATTTATTTATTTTTATTTACAAATTAAACCATGAACACTTTTAATGCTTACAAATTAAACCAAACTTTTAATGCTTGCATTTGAAGATTCTTACAGGCTCTGGGCTTTTGTTGCCAAGTTTCTGGATGCTGATTTTGTTGAGAAGGAGAGATGGAGATGTGTGGCTCTTAACCAGAAAATGATTGAATTGTAGACTGAGGAATGACCAAGAATCCATTATTTTACTGCTCCACCTTTTCAAACTTTGCAGATGGGGGACAATATGGGAGCATTCAAATTTCCTATTCATTCATTCTTTATAAATGATGTGCAATGTTGCAGAAGTCAATTGAATGGTTTAAAGTTCAATATTTTTTTGAAATCATTAAAGATGGTAGCTGAGAGTAGTAACAAATGTCAAACAATTTATGTCATGCAATCGTTTCATATATTTTACTTCATTATTGTAGTTTCTTGGACCGAGTATTTTTTTATTAGAAAGTTGTTTTAAGAAGCAGTAAGAAAGTTGTCACGAATGAAACCTAAGTCACTCAAAGTAGCCAAAGCTGACACATTGCTCGACTTGGTTCACCAAGGCTACTCGCCCAACTCGGCAAATCTCAATGATGTCGCAAGGAGCATCATATGGATTCAGCCCTTACAAACCAATATGTAATTTCCACATTTTATTCTCTACAAACTAGTTAAGTTTATTCATTTTATAATAAGCTATGATATGTAACTCATATAGGGGCTGTTTGGTAGCACTCATGATTTGATTTAAGTAGGATTTTGTAAATCCTCTAAATCTGGATTTCGGAAATCCCAAGGGGCCTAAATCCTGAAAACTGTTTGATAATATTAATGATAAATCCTATTAAATCTCATGTGGCTGTTTGGCTACAGAGCATATTTAATCGGCGGACTCTTCCCTCTCGTGCTCATAGAATCTTAAATCCGGCAACAAATAGAATTTAAGAAATATGGAATTTAGCACGAAAAAGGGGGTATTTTCCTTCTACGGCATCTTTCATTTGCCATGAGATTTGGTTTTGCATTTTTGGCCATTTGACGGATTTCGCTCAAATCCGGCCCAAACATGGCCTAAATCCTGCTATCAAACAGCCCCATAGTGTTTTCTGTAGCAAAGTACCTCTACCTGAGCTTATAAATAAATAGGGTGTCAAACCATGAATCTGGGACAAACAATCATTTGCCTTAGTCTTATACTTCCAGGCAATCTAGTGAAATTTCAAAACTTTTCATTCTAGACTCTCTATCTTTCATCTCTTATCTCTTGTTTCTTAATCATTCTTGTCTATAAGATTATGGTGTTACTTGCAAACAAATGTGATCCAACACTTGATATTATAGTTATACTTTTTCTCAAGAAACAATACTTACGATGGGCACCAATTACATACTTCATAATAACTCTTTCATTCATGCTTAGTTTGGGATAACTTTCTTACTATTTTCTAAAATAGCTTTCTAGTACAAATTTTTTTTCTTTCAAATTATCACAAATGAAGCCTCAATCTCTCACTCACTCTCACTTTCTTAAAAAATCAAAGAAAATGAGGAAAAGGGGAGAGGATGTATTGGCAGCAATGTAAATGTGGCATTAACTCCAACAGCAACTTTGAGAGGTATCTATAGCCCAGGTCAATCTTCCCAGCTTACAATAACTATCCTCTACAATTATAGAAAGCTTTCTATAGTAGTCAAACTTGTATTGAGATTTTCAAGTGATAGACCATACTAATGTTAAACTATATGAAAGCCTTATATTTAGTGCCACATTCGATTGATAAAAAGTACATTCACAAAGAAATACATTCATTGCCAAAAAAAGTTTAAGCTTTTTGGGTTAAAATTGGGTACCACTAAAGCATTTGTCCCAGCCCCATGTACCTATTAGGCTCATTCTCCTTAACAAGAGTACTATAGTTTATGATTTTTTTTTATAATTAATTAATTATTTACTATACTACTACTCTACTATACTATATATTATAATATACTACTACTACTACTATACTATATATACTACTATACTACTATACTATACTACTATACTACTATACAATACTATTATACTATACTACTACTATACTACTACTATACTACTATACTATAATACTACTACTATACTATAATACTACTACTACTACTATACTACTACTATACTATACTATACTACTACTATACTACTACTATATTATATTATATTATATACTAAAATACTACTATACTATACTATACTACTACTACTACTACTATATGGCGCGAGCAAAAATCCGGGGGATGGGGGACCCGAGGACCTCCGCCGTCGAGACGAAAAACAAACGCTCATAATA